AAAAAAAAAGGGGCAGACAAAAAAAAAAAAAAAACAAAAAAAAAAAAAAAAAAAAGAAAACCAAAAAACCAAAAATAAAAACCAACAAGAGAACGGCTGGGATCTTGATGAAGATGTTATGGTGTGGTGAGTCCGACAATGCTGCTATCCCTGCGCCCCCGCGCAGGCAGGGAGGATCCAACGCCCCGCCGGCCCTGCTGCTGCTCCCGGCCCCTCTCTGCCCCGGCCCGGCAGCTCCCCCGCCTCCCCCCACCCCAAAAAAAAAGTTGCCCCGTTCCGAGTCCTCTCGTCACTCCGCACGCCTAGGACAACGTCGCCGGGCAAGCTACAGGTCAGTGCTGGCGCTGGCTACCGCTGCTCGACACGGCCCAGCGCTCGGAGGGGAACGAGGCGAGGGCCTGACCTGCCACAACTCCGAGTTAACTCGAGGTTAAGGGACAGCCACAGACTTCAGATGCCTCCTGAAGCTACCCAGAAAGGGCGAGTCACTGGCTGGGGCCTGGCTGGCTAAGGTTTGGGGAGGTCTGGGGGGGCCGGGCAGGTGGGGGTGGGTGGGAGAGGAAGGGGAGAGGGGGGTACACAGCCTCACTTCCAGGTCACCGGAAGAACTGCAGCCCAGGCTGGAATTGGCCCAAGTTCGTTGCCATGCAGTGGCTGCCGGGTGGCCTGCGTGAGGAGAGGTTGGTGGGCTCAGAGTCCAGTTCCCAGTGGACAGGAGTCCACAGCACAAAAAGCCACCGTTGTCGGTTTTGGGGGACGGGGACGGGGATGCCACCCTTGTTGGCAGTCTCAGAGAGGCCAAGGATTGAACGGGCCGTGGAGACTGAACTCCCCTCTCACCTCCTGAGGTGGTCCCTCCAAGTCAGAGTTGAGGCACATGGATGGGGCGGTGTGGGGGTAGCTCGCACTGCCGCTGCTGTACCTGTCCTGTGGATAAATTAGAGGACTTCAGTCTCCAGGGCTGTCAATCCGAAACCTTTCGCTAACACCAAACTCACATCCACATTAGCTCAGTGCTGATCGAGGGCTCGCCCTGCTCTACGCACGACTCTGAGCTGCGAAGACAGAGCCCAACGGCCGCCAGGAGCGGGGGGGCCCGGGCGGCTGCTGCGGGGCTTGGCCGCGGCCCTGGGCCAGGGATGGGGGCGGAAAGAAGGAAGGGGGAGAAAAAGGGGAAGGGGAGGGAAGAGATGCGTGGCCGTGGGAAGCCTTGGGAAGCCTGCTCCTCACTGCTCTAACGGGGAAGGCGGCCGGCTCCCGCCCCGTACGGCCCCTCCGCTGGCAAGGGGGAGGGCGCTTCCCCCGGGGGGCAGAGCGGCGGGAGAAGCTGTCGGAGAGGTGGGGGGGGCTGACCGGGTTCAAGGGGGGGAGGAAGAGGCAGGGAGGGCAGGGGTGGGGAGGAAGGGGACGGCGGCAGGTCCGTCCCCAAAACAAGCATGGCCTGGCGTGGGGGGAGGAGAGCAGAGTCAGGCCTGGCTCTCAGGGAGGCCGGCAGCAGCTACCCCTTTTCCCTGACCCCCTTCCCTGCCTACAGAGGCCTCCACCGACAAGGCCAGGCCCTGCCTGCGCGGGTCCCGGGCCGGAGCCCACCCCGAGGGGTCTCCCTGGCAGCAGGAAGGCAGCGGATGCGTTTGCACGAGTCGCCGTGGTTTCTCCGAGCTTTACGGCAGCCCTGGGAACCGCAGGGTGGGAGCGGGTGATCCGCTCCTGGGCCCGGCCTCCCAGCCAGCATCCCCCACCCCAAAGAGGGCAGGGGGATTCGGGGCTTTACAGCAGACAGGATCCCAAGGGAGCCCTGTCCCCTGTAACCTGGCTCACGGCAGGGAGCGACTCCCCAGCTCAGCTCAGCGCAGGAGGGACTAAACTCCAGTCACCTGACACTACTCCTATCTGACACACCCTCCCCTCGTGCGAGACGAAGCCTTTGCACACCCCAACCCTACCCACGGCACAGGCTGAGCCTTTGCACCCCAAAGAGCCAGTCACGGAGAGCAGAGAAGCCCCAGACTCCGGGCCGGTCACCCACAGCAGGTCACACCAATGTCCCTGGAGCCAGCCCGAGGCAGAGGGGCAGAGCCTGGATTTGGCAGCTGGAGCCTCGGCCCCATTCAAGTCCCCACTGCTGCCACCACACTGGCAATGTTTTTTTTTTGGCTGGCTAACTCCAGGAGTGTTTTCCAGCATCCCCTCCTCCCAAATCGTCCCTTTTCCCCACTCTCATCCCTTGGCAGGGATGGCTGGAGCTGGCTCTGGGAGGTTGAGGTCCAACAGAGCCGCTCTGGGCAGGAGGCACGGCGTGGGTGACGGGCACACGGAGCGGCCGGGGCGCGCTGGCAGCTCGGTACGACACCCCCTGCCCCCCTCCCCACCCCGCACCCCAGGAGCAGAGGAGAGGCCTTACCTGGCCGCCTGCAAAGATGACGGGAGAGCTGGATGGCTTGGGTCGGTACGGGATGGTGACACCCTTCGGGGGAGACTGGGTGACAGGCAGAGAGGGCAGGTCAGACACCGAGGGCCGCTGGCACCAACAGCCCCCTCCCCGCACCCCAGGGCTCTGCTTCAGCTTCCCAACTGGCCATCTGGGGGACCCACAGCAATGATATTTCTTCCCCATCCCGGGCACAGGGCCTGGGAGCAGAGCAGTGGGACAGCTCAGTGTCACCGTGCTGGGCAGCACGACCGGTCACCGTGAGCAGCTCTTGAGGCCTCACTCGACCCCGGTTTTAAGCGGCTCCAAGCCTCACCTGGATGAGGCTGTAATCCCCAGCTATCCCTTTATCCCCCAGCAGTTATTTTCTCCACCCTCAGCGTTTCCACCCCGTGGAGGAGACATGGCTGCCAAGGGCAGCAGGATCCCCCCCACAGGCCTGAGGAGGGGCCCTACCTCAAGCATGACGACGCAGATCTGTTTGACGCACTCGATGATGGACTGTGGGATCCCAGCAATGGTGATGGCTCGCTCAGTCGAGTTGGGCAGCATGTCCCCTGCCACCTGGACCTGTGCCCCCGTGCTCTGCCAAGTCGAGGGTTAAAAATAACTGGTCAGACCCCAGGGAGGGCTGTGACCTCAGCGATGAACCCCGTGGATGGTTATACATAGCCAAAACTGTTCCCCCCTCCTCCTTTTCCCCCCCAAAATAAAGTCCTTTAATCCCAGTTGGATACAAGTCAGGCACTGGGAGCCCGAGGCAGCAGAGGGGGACCTGGGCTCAGCCTGTCCCTGTAACCCAAGCCAAGCCCATCTCTGCGCCAGCAGAGCTGGGCAGAGTTAATCCAGCAGCACTCAGTGCTAAATGGCATGGGCGAGGGCAGCGTGGGCCTGGCAGCACATCTCCCCCTCCAAAAACTGGGAGAAGGATGGGGAGGGGGCACTCAGGAGCCATGGGAAGGAGGGGGGAGCAAGAACCCAGGCCTCCAGTTGTGGGGGACAGCACTGGGCAGGGAAGGGTTTGCCTTGAGTCTCAGTTTCCTGAGCACTAAAAATACAGGGAGCTCCAAAACATCCCAGCAATGCCATGTCCTCCCTGTCACGTGGTACCATGGGGGGGCACCCAGAGCCCCAAGGACCTCCCCCTCGGGGTGGCCACCACGCACCTCTCGGATCTCCTTGATCTTGCAGCCTCCCTTCCCAATGAGGGACCCGCACTGGCTGGCAGGGACCACAAGTCGGAGGGTGACCGGGGGCCGGCTGGCAGCTGTGCTGTTGGTCATGGAGCTGCTGATGTCCTGTGAAGAAGAGGAGGGGCTCAGAGGGGTTGGCCCGGCCTGGCACACCATCCCCGCCGGAACGGCACCGGCACGCGGCGGGGACGTGCCCAGCACGGGGACAGGGAGATGACGCTGGCACCAGGAGCCCCGGCCAAGGTGACCTCAGGGCTCTCCCAGTCCCGTTTCCAGGGATTCCTTAACGGCCGCGTTTTGGGGAAGCAGCAGCCACACTCTGTTGTCTCAGTGGAAATGGGGGTTTAACCACCCCCAGCCCCGGATGGGTCACACCTCAGCTGAGTGAGAACCAGCTGTGTCACTGCTGGGGGAAAAAAAGGGCTGGGGGCTCAGACTCCACAGCTCCCAGGTCAGCAGGAGCCTCCCGCTGCACCAGGGATCAAGGCAGGAGCTCCGGGAAAACAATCCCGGCGCCGATTACAGCGGTCATGTGCTGGCAGGGGGAGGGGAGGCACAAGGCCAGGGCTCAACTGACCTACTAAAAGCAAAGCTTCAGTTCCAAGGCCGCTGCCCAGGGCCACACTCAGCCGTGGAGCCCTTGGAGGACTCTGGTTCTTGGCATGTGGCACAAACAGCTCTGGGCTCTGCAGCCTTTTAGGCGAGAGCAGGGGGGTTTGGGGACAGAGTTGCCAGCACAGGGCTGCTCCTCCCAGAAAAGCGTCCCAAATCCAAAGAGCAACAGGATTTGTACCCATATGGGTGAGGCAAGGGCCACAGAGCTCTGCCCCACACCAGGTAAGGAGCACTCCCATCTCCCAGTGCCTCCAGTGCAGAGCAGGAGGGAAACCTCCTCAACATCACAGCCCTGAGCAGGCTCTAGTGCCCACAGACAGGATCCAGGTTATCCAGGATCAACATTCCCCCTGGAAGTTGCAGATTCAATGGGACCAGAGGTATGGTGCAGCTCCTCCTCCAGTGCTGCACAGCTACACCCCCAGGCCCCTCCTCGGTGGGGTCAGGGATGGAGACGAGCTTTGGTCCCCGCTGGGGCATGAAAGAGGGGAAGTGGCAGCAGGACGAGCAGAGCCAGGGGGATTCCAGGCCCAGTTCTGCCCAAAACTGTTTAACCAGTTCCCAGGGAAGTCCCTGCAGGGCTCTGGCTCCAGCACTGCCTGGACCTTGACCCAGCTCCCAGACGGGCAAAGATCAGGGGCCCCACAGGGAAACACCGGCCATCCATGCGGAAACGGTCCATCCTGCTGCTCAGCCCCAGCAGGACAAACCCAGCAGGGACAAAGCCCTCCCAGGTGCAGATCCCCTGGCAAACAGGGGTCAATTTACCCCAGGAAAGGGGCAAACAGGGGCAGTGACTATGGTGAGGAGGGGGCTTGTGCTGCAGACACACCTCTTCCAGTTTGTCAATGATCATCGCAAAAGCTTTGAAGATGGCGTTGGTGGGTCCCGCGAGGGTGATGATCCGCTCGGGGCAGTTCCCTTCCGAGATGTTGATGCGAGCTCCGCTCTGCGGGGAGGCAAACGCCACCTCAGTGCTCCGGGCCTCCCTCGACCCCCCCAGGGCAACCGCGGGGCAGCCGGAGTTCCCCAGGATCCCCCGCTGGGGACGAGCCCTCTTCCCCGCCTCCCTCCCTCCTCCCTCCCTCGGCTCGGGCAGCCATCTTCTCCTCCTCGGCTTCCTGCCGCGCCTGCCCACACCTCCCGGCATTCCCCGCGCCGCCGCTCCGGCCGCTGCCTCCGCGCTGCTGCCTGCGGAGCCCTCGGAAGGCCCCGCGCCGCCGCCGCCGCCCCCGGATCCCCCCGCAGCCCCTCCCCGGATCCCCCCGCAGCCCCTCCCCGGCCCCGGGGCTCACCTCCTCACGCATCTTCTTCACGGACTCCCCTTTCTGTGAGGAAGGAGAGAAAGGAAAAAGGCGTCAGCGTGGCTGTGGGGGAGGGGAGGGGACGAGGAGAGAAGGGGAAGGCGGGATGAGAGCGGTGGTTCCTCACTTACCTTCCCAATGATGCTTCCCACCTCCTGGGATGGAAACAAAAGCACCATTAGTCAGCGTTTTAAAAACTCCAGGAGTCCCAAAGCCTAAACTCGTTCCTTTTACAGCCTAAACTTGCTCCTTTTACAGTCTAAACTCGCTCCTTTTACAGCCCAAACAAGTTCCTGAGCACTTGGGATCTGTCCCCTCCAGACACCTAGGGATGTGCACTGACACTCTGCTCCCACCTGAGCTCCCTCCAGGTCGGTCCCCCTGCCCCCCATTATTATTTTCCTCCCTGGTTGTGCTTTTACAGTGCTGCTGCTGCGCCCCAGGAGCCGGCCGGGTGCCAGGAACACATTCCTGGCTCTGCAGCAGCTCCAGGAGATCCCCCCCACTGCCCAGCCCACCCCATGCCAGGTGAGGGTTGGGGATGGATGGGACACGAACCTTTCCGTGCATGAGTAGCCGGATGGTGAGTGTGACATTGAGACCCCCTTCGATGACTCCGGTGTCCATGGTGGGGTCGGCTCAGGCTGTGGCAGCGCTCGGGCCTTGGGTGAGCGGTGCTGGGGGCGAGAGGGGCCGGGTGAGGGGCTGGGGCTGAGAGGCTCTTCCAACCCTCCCCAGCCCATTCCAGCAGCATTCCAACCTCCCCGTGCTTCTTCTCCCCTCAAATCTCCCCCTGGAAGTTTCGGGCCGTGCACTTCCCCAAAGAGCTGATCCACGGTGGTTTGGCTGCTCCTCCTGCCCATTTCCAGGGCTGAACTGGCCTGATCCCACCAGGATCCAGCAATTCCTGGGGCCACAAAGGTCTTGCTCACCCCCTGCCTCTTACAGGGGCTTCCTGTGGGGACAAGGGACCCCGAGGAGGGACTGAGAACTTCAGGGTGACCCTCAGGTGGGACTGGGACACAAACAGTCCCTGGACAACCAGGGGGCACTGGGGACCTAAGAAGGGCTCCTGAGTGGGTCATACAGCTCTGGGGAACTTGCCTGTCCCTGCGAGCCCCACTCCTTCCCCAAACCCCGAGCCTTCCTGCAGCTACCCAGCAGGAGCAAGTGCCCCATTCCCGGAGGTCTGAGCCTCTGAGAACCCAGGACTGGGGAGAAAATAAACCACATCCACTTCCCTGAGCCCTGCGCCCGCGTAGGGCCTCCCGGAGCAGGTTCCGAGGCGATTCCCTCGGACCCAGATAAGGCCACATGAGCGCACGATCAGGTTTCAAACCACCTGAGTCGGCAGCGGTTGCAAAACAGCCCGACCGGCCCCAGCCAGGCGTTTAATGGGAATCCGGTAAATAAACTCCCATTTCAGCCCTCGCTTTTGCCCCATCAAAGTTTAACCACGGCCGGGGGTTCGCCCGCGGGCCGGGGCAGCGCTGCCTCGCTGGCAAACCAGAGGGTTTTGCCGCGGCCCGGAGTCGCGGCCTCCATGAGCTCAGCCCCACATCCCACCACATCCAAACTGGCGCCGCCGGCCCGGCTTGGGAAGCAGAGCTGGCCCCAATTCTCCCGCTCCCAGCCCACCCGGACCCGTCTCCACCCGTCCCACGAGCCCCGGCCGGTCCCGGGGACAAAAGGGGCCGAGCGGCCCCAGTCCGGGCTCCTGGCGAGGCTCCTCCGCAGGAAAACTTCCCCGAGCTCCCCCTCGCCGGATCCAACCCCCAGCCGGGATCCCCGTCCCGAACTGGGACCAGCACGGGGGGGACCCGGTTCCTGGGGCTGGGACGTGGCTCCAAAACGCGCCTGTCCCTGAGGCGGGAACGCGGCTCCGGAGCCAGCTCAGCCCTGGGCGGGGGGG